ACCAGGCCTCTACCCCTAGGAAGCAGTCCGTGACAGCTGACTAACGCCCAGGTACCTATTTACTGCTAGGTAACAGGGGCATGAGGGTAAAAGAAACTCTGCCCATTGTTTCTCGCTGGCGCCCCGGGATCGAACCCGGGACCACAGGATCACGCGTCCAGTGGTCCGTCCGCTCAGCCTCCGGCTCCCTACACTGAGTGTTATAAGGTAAAATGCCTTTTCACGCCCCGTTCTTAGTAGGCAAGCCTGCCTCTTCCCATCCCCACTGTTCAATAGGGAAGCATGCCCCCCCCCCTCATGCCTATCCCACATCGTAATGGGTAACATGCCATTTTCCTGTCGATTCTTAGCAGATCTTAGCAGAGGAAGAGACGAGAGAGTGTGCCCATTTTCCTTGTGCATCTGTCATCATCAGTAGAGGTAATTAACTGGGTTCTCCTCGGCCTAATCCATCACCACCGCCCTCACCCCGGCCTGAGAGGGAGAGACTAAGTGAGGGGGGAATGGGACAGGAGAGGAAAAGTGAGTGTTGTGAGGATAGGAAATTGGGAAGAACATATGAGAGAGAGAGAGAGAGAGAGAGAGAGAGAGAGAGAGAGAGAGAGAGAGAGAGAGAGAGAGAGAGAGAGAGAGAGAGAGAGAGAGAGAGAGAGAGAGAGAGAGAGAGAGAGAAGACACACATCAGTTGATTGTTCAGTTGATTGATAGTTGAGAGTTGTTGTTGTTGTTATAGATTAAGCTACTCGGATCAAGTTCCAAGTAGCACGGGCTATGGTGAGTCCGTAACTTACCTGGCATAGGAGCGGGGCAAGTAGCATGGGCTATGGTGAGCCCGCAGTGGACTTACCTGGCACAAGAGCGGTGCTGTGTCAATTGAGAGGCGGGAACAAAGAGCTAAAGCTCAACCTCCTCAAGCTACTATACATGTAAGTGGTTGCAGCTAATTGCATCTTAGGGGAGTGGCCGTTCTTGGACAACACAACTGTTACTGCTGCAACACGCATCCAGCTGTTGGTCTTGTTGCATGTACACACCTAATTGTTCTCACATAATTGTGCTTCGGCTCTTTGGTCCCGCCTCTCAAATCGTAATCAACAGTTGAACAGGTGTCTGAGCCCACTAGGCGCTATCATATCTACAGTCGAAACTGTGTATGGGGTCAGCCGCCATCACATCACTGCCTAACGCATTCCATTTGTTAAGTATTTTAACACTGAGAAAAACCTATCTTGTCTCTATCATTGTTTTCCAGTGGACCACAAAATACCAGAAAGTCTGGTGTTTCAGTCGATCCATTTTACACTTCACACCAAGGATCGAACCCCTTTAAGAGCGTCTCCCGCATTGTGTTGCCCCCGGAGGAGCCTTGAATGTTAATGAGCAAAACAATAAGCACGGAGAAGTTATTTGTGGCAGAGTGAGTCAGTCCATGGATAACCAGTCCATGGGGAGCCAGTTCGTGGGTAGCCAGTTCGTGGGTAGCCAGTCCGTGGGTAGCCAGTCCGTTGGTAGCTAGTCCATGGGTAGCCAGTTCCCTACCAAAGCGAATTCAGGTTAATTCTTGTAATTCTACAGAGTTCTACTGAAATAAATTTTGAATTAGTCTATCGCTTAAAACTGTCTAAGAGAAAACGTATACAAGAAAGAAACATAGAGAACGAATACTTTCTTTAGGTAGACTTGCATATATTTTGCTCATGCATTGCAAAGTGGCTAGCTTATTGTTCACCGGATAAACCAATCTGTTCGTCTGTCTGTCGGTCTGTCTGTCGGTCTGTCTGTCGGTCTGTCTCTCTCTCACTTCTTTCTCTCTTCTTTCTCTCTCTCTCTTTTTCTCTCTTTTCTCTCTCTCTCTCTTTCTCTCTCTCTCCTTTTTCTCTCTCTCCTTTCTCTCTCTCTCCTTTCTCTCTCTCTCCTTTCTCTCTCTCTCTCTCTCTCTCTCTCTCTCTCTCTCTCTCTCTCTCTCTCTCTCTCTCTCTCTCTCTCTCTCTCTCTCTCTCTCTCTCTCTCTCTCTCTCTCTCTCTCTCTCTCCCTTCTCTCTCCTTTCTCTCTCCTTTTTTCTCTTTTTTTGTTCTCTCTCTTTCACTTCTCTCTCCCTCTCCATCTCTCCTCTCTCCCTCTCCCTCTCTCCTCTCTCCCTCTCTCACTCTCCCTCTCCCTCTCTCCTCTCTCCCTCTCTCCCTCTCTCACACAAGACCACCTAAGAGGAGCAGCATCGTATCATCAATCACTAGTTTATGGCCTACCTGTGTCGAGTTAGAATTACTAGTCAAATAAGCTGAATATAAGAATGTAGACCTGTGCCTTTATTTACTCACCTAGTTGTGCTTTCAGGGGTTGAGCTTGCATTATATACAAGTCTGTATGTATGTTTGCAAGTCTTATTGTATATAAGCGTTACATTAAACAGTATATCTTGGAGACAGGTTAAGTGTACCGCCAAGTGTGGCAGTAATCAGATAGTATTTATGCTGTTTTCAGCATATCTCAATCAGGTGGGTCGGATATCAGTTCCGATATTAGACATTCTACGTTATAAAGTTCAAGAGAATGTATGTGTTTTGTTTTTTGTTCTCAGAGTTGCCACTTGGTATTATTACTGTTACAAAGGAGGCCTGGTCGACGACCGGGCCGCGGGGACACTAAGCCCCGGAAGCACCTCAAGGTAAGGTAAGGGATAATACACTTACTACAGTATTGACCAGACCACACGTCTGAAAATGGAGAAACGACGACGTTTTGGTCCGTCCTGGACCACTATCATGTGTTATAGGTCATGATGGTCCACGACGGACCGAAACGCCTTCGTTTTTCTATCATGCAGTCCCCGTGTCGTAGTGGTAAGACACTCGCCTGGCGTTTCGCGAGCGCTTTGGCCTGGGTTCGTCTCCTGGCCGGGGAGGATTGACTGGGCGCCAATCCTTAACTGTAGCGTATGTTTACCCAACAGAAAAATGGGTACCTGGTTGTTAAACGATTTGGCGGGTCGTATTGCGAGGAATATAGGGTCATAAGGACCTGCACGAAACGCTATGTGTGCTAGTGGCTGTACAAGAATGTAAGAACTCTTGTATATATATAAATAAAGTACTCTTTATTTTCTTCTCCGAGGCTATGGGTCCCTACACTTGCACTAGAGGTGGTACTCCTCCAATAAATAAAATAAACAAAATTACTATTATCGACTATTTAGGGGGGCCTCGTAGCCTGGTGGATAGCGCGCAGGACTCGTAATTCTGTGGCGCGGGTTCGATTCCCGCACGAGGCAGAAACAAATGGGCAAAGTTTCTTTCACCCTGAATGTCCCTGTTACCTAGCAGTAAATAGGTACCTGGGAGTTAGTCAGCTGTCACGGGCTGCTTCCTGGGGGTGGAGGCCTGGTCGAGGACCGGGCCGCGGGGACACTAAAGCCCCGAAATCATCTCAAGATAACCTCGAGGTAACAATTATTTTCTGATGATTTGGTTATCTTGACTTCAGCCATGTTATTGTGACTCATCGTCTGCTTACAACATTGATGGGAGGGGGGGGGGAAGACAACTCAAAGTTTTCTACAATATATGAATAATAATGTATACCTGGAGTATACCTGTAGAGGGTTTCTGGAGTTCTTATACTCCCCGGCCTGAGGCCAGGCTCGACTTGTGAGAGCTTGGTCCATCAGGCTGTGGCTTAGACTGGCCCGCAAGCCGCTCTAAGCAACCAGAAAATTGCTTAGTTTTTGCATATATCATGATGCATACTTACACTACAACCCGGTTGGTCCGGCACTTCTCGCAGGAACTTATTTAAATGCTTCTTGAAGATATCCACCCTTGTTCTGACAGTATTTATAATGCTTGTTGGCAGGGTATTGGAGGGAGGGACGAGAGAAAGGGAGAGAGAAGAGAAAGACGTGGAAAGAGAGAGAGAGAGAGAGAGAGAGAGAGAGAGAGAGAGAGAGAGAGAGAGAGAGAGAGAGAGAGAGAGAGAGAGAGAGACAGAGAGAAACAGAGAGTGAATGAATGTGTGTGTGTGTGTGTGTGTGTGTGTGTGTGTGTGTGTGTGTGTGTGTGTGTGTGTGTGTGTGTGTGTGTGTGTGTGTGTGTGTGTGTGTGTGTGTGTGTGTGAGTGTGTGTGACAGAGCAGGACAGTGAGCAACAAGTCACCGTCACGGGCAGTGCATTTCACTCTTGAACTCCCTCCCTCTCTCCCTCTCCCATGCCCCCCCCCCCCTCCTTTCCCTGATATTCTTTCTTAATTCTCTCTCACATCCCTTCTTTACTCTCTTTCCCTGATCTTTTCTCACACTAAGGTGTTGGTGACACTTTACTAAAGTCTCCCCCGTTACGGGGGCGAGGAGAGAACGGCGAGGGAGGGAAGGAGGTGAGAATCAAGAGAGAGAGAAACAGAGCAAATGAGAGCGGGGTGGGAGGGAAGAAGAGAGGGAGAGGGAGAGGGAGAAGGAGAGGAAGAAGGACAGTGCTCCTGGCTAGCGTTACCCCCCCTCGTTTGCCTCTTAATTGTGCCGTCTTAGTTAACACAACTGGTTCTTTCTTCCTCGTTAGGTCATTATGAAGCTCGTTTAGGGTTTGTGTCCGAATATTTACACACTTCGACCAGCTAAGTAAACACGACTTCAAGTCTTGACGTTAAATGGCACAATTGTACAGGGTTGGATGGGACGTTACTATGGTGCACTTGTTAAAGTGTTCTGGTTGGAAGTGTTGGTGGTCTGACGTGTGAGTGATAGCTTATCAGTGACGTAAGGAGGGAGAGTGATAAAGGTGATGAGAGCACTAGCCACCACACACAGGATCTCTGTCCACTGTGAGGTTAGTCTGTGTGTGTGTGTGTGTGTGTGTGTGTGTGTGTGTGTGTGTGTGTGTGTGTGTGTGTGTGTGTGTGTGTGTGTGTGTGTGTGTGTGTGTGTGTGTGTCGCTAGCAGGAGGCTCATCCGAGGCATCACCCGTCAGCGAGAAAGTGTAATATACCACCGTTTTTGTTATCAATTGTAAGTTGCCATTTGACAATCAATGTCTGAAGCTGTCGACCAGAGTGTAGCTGGTGTGAGGTACACTTCCTGTGGTACACCTGTCTAGAGCAGACCCTGCACTGTCTGCGTTACTCCTGCCGTGGGACTCGTCCCCTGGCCGAGTAACTCGTCCCCTGACCGAGTAATTCGTCCCCTGGCCGAGTAATTCGTCCCCTGGCCGAGTAATTCGTCCCCTGGCCGAGTAACTCTTTCCCATTGTTTCCGATGACTTTTTCAACTAGATTATGAACTGAAATGGGAGTCGTCTGAAGTACCTTTCTGTGACTCCAGTTTCAAGGGCCCTGTACAGGTAGCATCCGTCAGGTACACATGGCTACTTTACATAGCTTCTACAGAGACACATATGACTTTATAATGTGGTAAACACCAGTGCCACCTGTGATAGGTAGTGTCACGGGGTCACTTAGTACATCCTCTTGGTCAGTATGGTGCCATGGGGGGGGGGGGTAGTGTTGGCTGTCAGGTGTGGAGAAGATGAGAAGATGCTTGCTGTCAGGTGTGGTGGTGGTGAGAGGGTGCTGGCTATCTTGTGTGACAGGTGTGTGGGTCCTATCATGCCATTGGATAACGAACGAGCAAGCTTCGTGAGCCAGATGTTAGGAGTCAGATGTGAAGGGTTAGATGTTAGGTGTTATATGTGAGGGGGCCAGATAAGGAGGAGGGGGACTAGATATGAGGGGCAAGATATGAGGGGAGAACAAGGACCGAGGAGAATCTAGTCTGGTGTGTGTGTGAGAGTGGGAGAGCGAGGCACCCGTTAACCTCTCACAGTGGCGGGGAGAGAGCGAGAGTGTGCGTGTGTAGGTAGCGAGGCAGCGGCGAGGCAGAGGAAGGGAGTACCTCATTGCTGGTCACGTTCCCTCACTCCACCCTCACACGCCACGCCTCCTGCCTCGCCCCACTCCTCCAGTGGCTCCTGAGGGAGGGAGAAGGGGCAATATTTACGTGAGGCGAAGGAAAGAAGGCAAAAAGCCTGTCGCCACCTTCCATTCTCTCTCAGTCGTCCTCTCCAGCGCCACCGATCCGGTCCCACGTCAAACGGGGAGTTTATCTAACGTGTATCCTGGAGTAGTCTACCCACCCGAGCATACACATCCAGTGTGTATGAACTATACATGGCTATACATAAGGCTCTTCCATCCTTAAGACTCATCGGTGGGGAACATTCTACCGAGCGACAGAACTCAGAGGTCAGTAACTATTGTCTACTTCCATATCTCTCGCTTCTTGTGCACGGTAAGTGGAACAAAAATGTGTGTTTACAAACTGCATCAAGATCAGACTGATAGACTGTTAAACTGGAAGATTGGTAGATTAGAAGACCGTGAACTGTTAGATTGGTAAAGTGATTGATAGACTGGTAGACTGGTTATTGGATCCGTCTTACTATAAATAGCGAATATATAAGGTTAAGAATGTAGTGCAGATGGTCCCAGTGGTGAGTGTTGGAGTCACATCATATTGATGCTAGGGGGCCATCTTGAGGTTATCTTGAGATGATTTCGGGGCTTAGCGTACCCGCGGCCCGGTCGTCGATCAGGCCTCCTTTTTGTTACACACCCCCAGGAAGCAGCCCGTAGCAGCTGTCTAACTCCCAGGTACCTATTTACTGTTAGGTAACAGGGGCATCAATGTAAAAGAAACATTTTACCAATTTGTCTCCGCCGGAACAGACATTGGTTAGAGAGTACCTAACTGACTTGATACGAACACACTGAACGAGAAGCATTCGAACTTATGCAGGGTAATAAGTTCCCTAGAATTCCCTAGTGGAGTTCCCTAGAGACTCATCTTAGGACCTATATTCTTTCCAATTACGTCAATATCGTAGCCACAGGGGTAAGATACTTTAATAAGACGTATACTGGTTGTAGAGGTGAACCAGTTTCAGAAGTAGATTTCAATACAACAGTGATCGATGTTGTACTGAAATCCAATACAATATTGGATTTCTGCAGCTTGATGATGTTGATGAGAACAGAGGATAGGGGGATGGAGAGGACGGTGGATAGTAAAGAGAGATCTGCCTCCATGAAACAACTTTTATTAAAGACGTTGGGGTGTGGATAGCATCAAATCTTTCCCCAGAGACACATATGAATAGGATAACCAGAGCATTATCACACCCTTAGGTAATGTAAACACATGAGAATGAAAGAAACTACTGACCCTTACGAGGCAATTCCTGTTTATATCCACCCAAGCACATTCATATATATGGCTAACCTACGCCTGCAACAATCCAGTGATCCCTCATCTATCATGTTACCCGGTAATTTGTTGCATAATTCAACAAACCTGTTTTCAAACCAGTCTTTACCCAGGTCTTTCCTGAATCTAAACTTTTTCTCCAGTTTGTGTCGTTTCAAGTTCCGTTTTTGTTTTGAGACTAAAAACCTGTTTGCATCCCGTTCGTTACATCTTGTCATCAGTTAGTACAACATTAAGGAGATACTTAGATTACTGTTTGACTAGTTTGATGCCTGGTGCTTACTTGGGACCAGTCCTTGAGAACATCGTCGTCCAAGACATACCTAAAAAAGGACATAAACAAACTTGAAATGTTACGAAGGTTTGCAATGATGTTCGTTGCAGAATTATGTGGGATGAGACAAGCAGAGGTTGAGAGAGATGGACCAAACGGAGCTATAAAAGGGAATAAAGGAAGATATGATATAAATACACAATTGCTGAGGGGAATGGACAGAGTGAAGAAAAATCTTCACAATGACTCTCAATAGAATTTTTTGTTAATGGCCTCCAAAGATCGAGGTTATTGGGCAGCGTCACTAAGCCTGTGAGTGGACATACCGCCATAGTGACAATACTGTGAAGTGCTACTCATCACATGAGTGGACATAACTCCATGGTGACAATACTGGGCACCGTCACTCATCCTGTGAGTAAATATATTGTCATAGCAGCATGTACAACACTCAATAGGAAGCATGTACAATAGGAAGAAAACCCGCTGGGTTGTTCATCCCGTCACTTGTACCCGGACACAGCTGAACTCGCTTAGTAAGTCGAGCACAGGTTAAATAATTGTCAACAGTTCCGTGTGAATGGAGGCCACGCAAAAAAAATTTAAGCGTATCTTTGATCTTCCCTTTTGACTAATAGAAATCTTTTCATCATAGAATTTACTCTTTTTTTCTTACTGACTTATTGACTGATTATTACCAATAATTTTGTAGTGCAGTTTAGGTAAAGAATAGAGCCGTTGGTTTTGTGTTCAACTGTAGGTGAACAGACTGTCAAACAAGGCAGTTAACAGCCTGTAACCCTTAAGGTACGTTACCTTACAGGCGCAAAGTGGACGAACCTTTCATGAAGAATAATATATTTGACAAAAATGTTCTCCTGAATTAAATAATGTGAAGTTTATTACCCTTCACATATCTCTAATGTTTCTTAGATGGGCACAGTATAATAGGGCATAGGCTTGAGACGGGAAACGGTTGGGGTACTTTTTTTTTACCTAATGCCTCTGTTCACCTAGCAGTAAAGAGAGATGCCCGGAATTGAGGCAACTGTTATGGAGTTGCTTCTACAGGAAAGTCTGTAGTTCGACCTTGGGGAGACTTCAATACAAGCTTGAAGTATATATATATATATATATATATATATATATATATATATATATATATATATATATATATATATATATATATATATATATATATATATATGACGGTGTCAGACCACGGAGGAAGAAGGAAATTCCTGTTTCAATACTTCCTCCGTGGTCTGACACTGTCACTTTTTCATCACGTGTTAATTTTCGTGATTTACACACACACACACACACACACACACACACACACACACACACACACGAACGGCGTTCAGGAACCTGTGTAAGGAATCATTCAGAATCTTGTACACCACATATGTAAGACCAATCCTGGAGTATGCGGCCCCAGCATGGAGCCCGTACCTTGTCAAGCACAAGACGAAGCTGGAAAAAGTCCAAAGGTATGCTACTAGACTAGTCCCAGAACTAAGAGGCATGAGTTATGAGGAAAGGCTGCGGGAAATGCACCTCACGACACTGGAAGACAGAAGAGTAAGGGGGGACATGATCACAACCTACAAAATCCTCAGGGGAATCGACCGGGTAAACAAGGATGAACTATTCAACACTGGTGGGACGCGAACAAGGGGACACAGGTGGAAGCTGAGTACCCAAATGAGCCACAGAGACGTTAGAAAGAACTTTTTCAGTGTCAGAGTAGTTAGTAAATGGAATGCATTAGGAAGTGATGTGGTGGAGGCTGACTCCATACACAGTTTCAAATGTAGATATGATAGAGCCCAATAGGCTCAGGAATCTGTACACCAGTTGATTGACGGTTGAGAGGCGGGACCAAAGAGCCAGAGCTCAACCCCCGCAAGCACAATTAGGTGAGTACAATTAGGTGAGTACACACACACACGCACGCACGCCACCTTGAACCTGCAGCGTACACACTTAGACTCGCGAGCTGTGAAGATAAACTCAGTGAGTGCATTGCTTGACTCTCAGCCCTGAGTGTGTACACACCCCCTTCCCCTCCCGCTCCAAGTGTTTATGTTCTGGACTGTTTCTCCTAACCTAATAACCTGCAGCTCTTGGGCCCCGCCTTTTAGCTGTTGGTTTCAAGGTACAACTGTCCCAAATCTATTGTGACGTATTATATATATTCATGTGAAGTCGTTAATGGAGTTAGCCTCTTTTACCTCACTAGATTTACCTCACTAGATTTACCTCACTAGATTTACCTCACTAGATTTACCTCACTGACTTACCTCACCACTCTTACAGGTAGTTTGCTTCTACTTGTTTATCATGGCCCACCCATCGCCTATAGCCTGTTCTTTTCTGTCCTCTTCGTTTTTTTATTTTGATAAATTTTGAATGTCGTGATCATGTTTCAAATTTCTTATAGTGAGATTAGGTTAAATTTCATTAGTCTTCGGACTTCCTCTGGACTTTCTCCAGCTTCGTTTTGCGTTTAACTAAAGGTTAAACGCACTCTGGCTCCCTATTTTCCAGAATTTATCTGCCATTGGGGTTATGCAAGTTCCTGAATAATTCCTTATTCAAGTTTCGAAAGGCAGTTCTCGTGTTGGCCAAATTCTGATGATATCCGATGCCTGTGATGATATCCGCTTGACGCGGGCCTCGGGAGACAGGCTCGAGGGTGATAGCAGCTCCAGGTCTTTTTCTCTGTCAGATTTTAGAAAGGTTTCGTTTCTCATCGTGTACCCTGAATCCGGTCTCCTGCACCCAGCATCCGGCTTCATGTCTTCGTATGTACACAGCGTGTATGTAATTACCTAAGTGTAATTACCTAAGTGTAATTACCTAAGTGTAGTAAGTAGTAAGTGTAGTAATTACTGTGTAGTATTCACAGTAATTGTCACACTAAAAAACAAACCTGACCTCAAAAAGCCCTAAAACAGCGAGTTTTTTTGAGAAAACACTGGCGTCAAGACATAAAGAAAACGGTGACCACATGCCAGTAAACAGTGACCACTCCCGATAGTTGTCGTATAAGGATAGAGGACCGACAGATACCCCATATGTTGTCACAACTCTTCTCCCTCCTCCGAGCATTCCCCCCTACCCTCTACGTCACAACCTATCCACCCGATCTATGTCGCAACCCCCAAACTATACTCTCTACCACCCTTTCATGTTTCCCACAAAGCCTCTCAGTTTTCCACTCCATTTTACTCCCCAACATCTAATCTACCTTTATAACTCCGGTCTATCTCCCAACCCACTTTACCTCACAATTATTCTATGTCTCTCAGCCCACTCAAAACTTCCCCCCCCCCCTCTCTCTCTCTCTCTCTCTCTCTCTCTCTCAATCCGTATCCTACTCTTAACCCCTCTCATCCTCTCACTCCTTCTCAACCCCAGTCTTCCTCTCCACACCTCATACTTCTTAGTCCCTATCACCCCCTCTCACTCCTTCTCACCTCTCACTCCCCTCTCACCCCCCCCCCTACTCCTCACTCTAGACAGTAATGCACCCAGAGACTCCCCACAGTATTGCACTGTGTATGTGTTTATGTACGTGTGTGTGTGTGTAGGCACGTGTGCGTGTACATATGTGTACGTACATGTATATACATGCGCGTGTACATGTGTGTAATTGAAAGGATTAATAATCTATTTCACTGTCTTCAAGAAAAAATATATACAAAGAAACCATCAGAAACTACTTTATTTACACAAAATGGCATCGAACCCTGGTATCCAGTTTCCCAGAAGCCACCGACCTCAGGCAGAACTCATGCCTTGTGTACCTCATCACCTGAATTTTTTTTTTTTTTTTTTTTGGGGGGGGGGAGGTTGTGAGGTTCATGGGGGGGTTGGAGGAAGGGAGGGAAGGTTGGAGGGGGCGGATTGGGGTGGGGAAATAGGGAAATGAACATAGGAGTGGGGAGGGAGTGGGGAGGGAGGGGGTGATGAACAACACAGGTTTAAATGTATCAAATGAATATTTAACTTTATCTGTATTTACCTGATGACCACGGTCTCTAGTGGCCTCGACGGGGTCAGGATGCCAGCGGGTTGGTAAAGGTCCCTCCTTCCCCCCCCCCCCTGTTATTCATGAAGAGGTTTTTTCAGCTAGATTTTAAAATGAAGTCTTGGCGTTTACGGCTTTGGCAGGTAGGCGGTTCCATGGGTTTATTACCCTACTGCTTAAAAAGATCATTTTTTCTGCCCTGCATTGTAGCATGTTAAGTTTGAAGCTGTTTGCTCTTGTGTGACTTGCTTTGGACCTTTTAAAGAAGTGGTCTGGATTAATATCTTCAAATCTGTTCAGTATTTTAAGTCTTTTTTGTTCTATTTGAAAAGCCTGAATGAGATCAGGCTTGTCATGTCTGGTTTGTTTCGTTGTTATTCCTGAGGACTTCAACTGTTCCTGGAAAGAGAGAACTAAGTGTTGTGAAGTTTCCGAAAGCTCTACACGGAACATTTTCCTATTATTATTAACATCTTTATTGACAAAATTAATTACAATTTTGCCTAACCTGAGGATTTTGATAGTCATATTAAAGTGAGGATAATGCTGGGAATATTTTCCGAAACAGTTAAGTACTTTTGAAGATGAATTCTTAATGTTTGGATACAGTCTCCAGAGTCTCCTTAGTAGGGGTAATAGTCGCTGTTGTTGAAGTACGAAGGAAAATTAAAAGAAAAAAGGAGTATAATCGTGAGAATTGAAAAAACTGAACAAAAGAATACAAGATAAAACATTAAACTGAGCATCAAGTCCAATCTTTCTTTAGCTCTTCAGAATGGTCGATAATTTAATCCCCTCGATGAGCACTTTTGGGAGGATTAACTTTATGGAGTTTCTACAATTATTGTCTTGTCTCCCCATATATATATATATATATATATATATATATATATATATATATATATATATATATATATATATGTCGTACCTAGTAGCCAGAACTCACTTTTTGGCCTACTATTCAAGGCCCGATTTGCCTAATAAGCCAAGTTTTCCTGAATTAATATATTTTTTCTATTTTTTTTCTTATGAAATGATAAAGCTACCCATTTCATTATGTATGAGGTCAATTTTTTTTTATTGGAGTTAAAATTAACGTAGATATATGACCGAACCTAACCAACCCTACCTAACCTAACCTAACCTAACCTATCTTCAGAGGTTAGGTTTGGTTAGGTAGCCGAAAAAGATAGGTTAGGTTAGGTTAGGTAGGTTAGGTAGTCGAAAAACAAATAATTCATGAAAACTTGGCTTATTAGGCAAATTGGGCCTTGCATAGTAGGCTGAGAAGTGCGTTCTGGCTACTAGGTACGACATATATATATATATATATATATATATATATATATATATATATATATATATATATATATATACATATATATATAATAGAAGTGGTATTGGTAATACTGGCACCAAAAAGGAGTTAAATACTATAGAAAGGGGACAACACAGTGTTTCTGCTGCTTCCTTTAATACCCAAGGCGATATCTTTTCAGTCTTCTTATTTGTTACATCCATTTCCTGTAGTTGTTTATTTCTGGCGTCGCTACCATACCGGCGAGTCTTTCCTGTGTGAGTGTCCGCTGTATTGGGGCTCTTATCTCTGCTGGCAGACCAAGTTTCAGCTTAAATGACTTCCTGGAAGCTTTTGTTAATACTTCTTCATCATTCTCCGTGCAGGGTCCTTCTCCTATGTGATGCCTGATCGTTCACAGACATCATCATCCTGATGTGGATATGTTAGTAGTTTAGGTTGGTCCTTAGCTTATCTCTCTCTCTCTCTCTCTCTCTGTCTCTCTCTCAACCTCAGTCCCACGTAGACATTGATTTGTAAGGATTTTTTTAAATCCTTAATTTTTAAAATCCAAATAGGATTTTTTTAAAAACCTGTAACGTCTAGGAAAAGGAGCCACAGACTCAAGTTTAAAATGTAACGTTATCATATATAACAAGCCGAAAGCCTAAGCCTAAGCCGAAAAGATGTCCGAAAGTTCTCGTTTGAAAAGAAATTGTTACAGCCGACAGCAACTCTAAGTGAGAATGTCATCAATGGCAAAGTCGTCAGTAGTCTCAAAGTGCCATATGACAAAAATTAAAGACAAGACGACACTACGATCGAATATAATGATCGTGGTGTCCTCATCCTATAACTAAACTCAGGAGGATATCTTGAGGTTATCTTGAGATGATTTCGGGGCTTTTTAGTGTCCCCGCGGCCCGGTCCTCGACCAGGCCTCCACCCCCAGGAAGCAGCCCATGACAGCTGACTAACACCCAGGTACCTATTTTACTGCTAAGTAACAGGGGGCATAGAGTGAAAGAAACTCTGCCCATTGTTTCTCGCCGGTACCTGGGATCGAACCCAGGACGACAGGATCACAAGTCCAGCGTGCTGTCCGCTCGGTCTGACCGGCTCCGTAGACCGGTCAGACCACAAGCACCGAGAAGGAAGAAGACCCACACGAACAGCAAAGCTTTGTGTACGTGTAGGTCCTGTACATATTGTAGGTACATAGAATATGTACATGCACGAGGTACATATTCTAAATTGGTGAACACCAAAACATCCCTCAGGAGCCTTTATTTGCAGGCATTCAGAGCACTGTACTCTACCTACGTGAGACAAGTCCTAGAGTATGCAACCAGTCCCTTTCTCGGAAAGCATATGGAGATACTTGAAATCTAATGAATAATTCCAAAGATGCTCGTTACAGAATGACATGGAAGGAGAGCGGAGGAAAGTCGCAAGAGTGAACTTACGACGCTTGAATAGAGAAGTTAAAAATAAGACACAATAGAAGACACAATAAGGAATCTTTCCTTATTAAGTCTACTCATAGCCCAGTCGATAGAGTTTCGGCCTCACACGCATTGGGGTCCACAGTTCGAGTCTCCAACAGCCCAGGTGAATATGAAGACACAATAGAATCATAAGATACATATGAAATACATATGTGATAAAATATGGGAATGATCACCTTCTACATGAATAGAAAAATAACTGAACACCATATTGCAGTAAGAGCATTCCACTTCGCTCATACGGAGTTAGATGACGGCATAGTGTTTTACAGGGCCGAGTTCAATCCCCGGAAGCATGATTGGTACACATTATTTACGAGAGTAAAAAAATAGCTAAAGTTTAAAAATAGAACCAATATTTCGCAGCACACCGTGAGCCAGACGCTTGTGTGGTAAGGCAGAGCTATTTTGTGGTCGGCGACGTTCATTTGGGAGAGTTGTGGACCACCAATACCGCCAACTGCCTCATATATGACTGTTTTCCCAAGAGGACGAGGAGAAAATAGGGGTTTAATGGTGGATGTGTGTGTGTGTGTGTGTGTGTGTGTGTGTGTGTGTGTGTGTGTGTGTGTGTGTGTGTGTGTGTGTGTGTGTACTCACCTATTTGCGCCTGCGGGGTTTGAGCTCTGGCTCTTTGGTCCCGCCTCTCAAGTCAATCAACTTATGTACAGGTTCCTGAGCCTACTGGGCTCTATCATATCATATTTCCTCGTCTTCAGCTCTACTAATTGTTTCTTTACTTCCTCTGATGTCACTTCAATTTCGATCACTCTTCTGGTAGCGCCTGTTCTCTTAGAAGTCGTAGATATGGAGGCATATCTGGCTCGATCTTAAACCCCTGAGACTTTCGTTGAGTTCTTCGCACACTTCTTTATCGTTCTTTGTGTAGCCTCTTCCTCTTTTGTGTAGCGTGATCATTTACCGACGCCTCCTCATGTAGCTATGTAGTAATTTACACCAATCCTTGGTCTTGGTTCCTATATCGTTCTCACGCTGTTGTTCTGCTGCCATCATGTGTTGATGCAGCAGAAGTTCTGCTGTTCTGCTGCATCATGTGTTGATGCAGCAGAAGTTCTGATGTCCTGCTGCATCATGTGTTGATGCAGCAGAAGTTCTCATGTTCTGCTGCATCATGTGTTGATGCAGCAGTTCTCATGTTCTGCTGCATCATGTGTTGATGCAGCAGAAGTTCTCATGTTCTGCTGCATCATGCGTTGATGCAGCAGAAGTTCTCATGTTCTGGTGCCATCATGTGTTGTGTATTGTCTCTCAGTTCTATTATATATTCTATTTATCTTTCTATTATCTTCTGCTACTCGCCTTCATGGAAAGTTAGTTTCCCACTCGCTCGCCTCTTCCTGGTGTTACAACTTTCATAACAACTACAAGATCAAAGATTAATATATATATGTGGTCACTTCCCTATTGGCATTTCATGTTCTATGTTCTCAATGTCCATTTCGCTTTGTAATAACTACGCTTACTGTAAATATATAGCTCTTGAAATAGCACTTTCTCTGTAACTAGATGACGATGACGTTTCGGTCCGTCCTGGACCATTCTCAGTCGACTTGAGAATGGTCCAGGACGGACCGAAACGTCGTCGTCTCTTCACCTTCTAGTGTGTGGTCTGGTCAACATACTTCAGCCACGTTATTGTGACTCCTCGTCTTCATTCACTGTTTTCCAGACAACACAGGACTCCACCCCCAATAGAAGCCATGAGTCCCTTACCGCCCACGCCCATGGACGCTCCGACGCCCACGGACGACTCCGCGCCACCTGCGGAGTCGTACGCCCGCTCCATTGTCTTCCTGGGAGTGGACAGGTCACCAAGCTTCGTGACGGAGTCTGCCCGACTACCCAGTCACCTGGCACCGGGTCAGGTAGGTCAGAGGTCACCTCACTGTCCTTGTGAATGTGTGTACGTTCACGCGCGTGTGTGTGTACATGCGTGCATGTGCGTATATACGCACTTGAATGTATATATATCCACATGTGTGTGCGCGCATTTAGTGAAAACTGGTATATATAAAGCCGAAAATACGTGTTTGAATATATATAGATATTCCTGGTGAAATGTTAATTTATTGAACACAGATTAGTCAGAGTGAAGTCAGGAGGAACTTTATCAGTTGTCACAGAGAGAAGCAGGACGAGTAGGTCCAAGGATAAGATGGGGCCCAAGAGCTGCAGCTCATGCATACACACACACTTTCTGTAATTTATTGGGGCCTCACGGCTAAGTGGACTTGGCTGAGTTCCATTCCCAGTGGTGGCAGAAACAAATGGGCAAAGTTTCTTTCACTCTAATGCCCCTGTTCCCCTAGCAGAAAAATAGGGTACCTGGGAGGTAGATAGCTGCTTCCTGTGGATGTGTATGTGTGTGTGGTGTGTGTGTGTGTGTGTGTGGTGTGTGTGCGTGTGCGTACGTGTGTGTGTGTGTGTATCAGCATTTGTGGTATTAAACTAATTGCCTCGCATTCTAATATTTTCCCTCTGCCCAACCACTTGGGCTGGACTGTAGAGCGACGGTCTCGTTTCATGCAGGTCGAGGTTCAATCTCCGACCGTCCAAATGGTTGGGCACCATTCCTTTCCCCCGTCCCATCCCAAATCCTTATCCTGACCCGTTCCAAGTGCTATATAGTCGTAATAGCTTGACGCTCTTCCCCGATAGTTCCCTTCCCTTCCCTCTCACTATGACACTCTGCTTCCTTTCCGATAGGCACTCCTTAGTTCATCTTTCTTTCAGATACTTCAACTTGTTTCTCTAGTTGAAAAGGATTCCGCTGTATGAGACAATATGTAAATCTTTCTGGGCATCGATGAACACCCAGCCCCTTCTCCTCCGAGTCATATCTTGTCATAACACTCGTGTAATGTTGTATGTGTCCAGGTCCTGGTGTTGGTGGAGCTGGCGACCATCTGTGGGTCGGACCTTCACACCCTCAACGGCACGAGGACCACCGCACACCCGTGGTAAGTTGACTCCTACTTATTATTTATTATTAACATCTTTATTGACAAAATTAATTACAATTTTGCCTAATCTGAGGATTTTGATAGTCTTATTAAATTGAGGTTAATGCTAGTATTCACTGTCACGCAGGACAGAGGGTCATACATAAGACAGTAGGTCTAAATTGACTGCTACTACGGCTTATTCCACTGTTCTGAACACGAGTTAAAGATTGTAAAATATTCCAAGGGAGCCGGTCGGCCGAGCGGACAGCACGCTGGACTTGTGATCCTGTGGTCCTGGGTTCGATCCCAGGCGCCGGCGAGAAACAATAGGCAGAGTTTCTTTCACCCTATGCCCCTGTTACCTAGCAGTAAAATAGGTACCTGGGTGTTGGTCAGCTGTCACGGGTTGCTTCCTGGGGAGTGGAGGCCTGGTCGAGGACCGGGCCGCGGGGACACTAAAAAGCCCCGAAATCATCTCAAGATAACCTCAAGATATGAGGTCATAAACAAGCTGCAGAGTTGGTCCAAGAAATGGCTACTGGATTTCAACGATAGCCGGTGTAAGGTGATGAACATGGGATACCTTGATAGAAGGCTAGCAAGACGGTAGACAGTAAAGGGAAACTGCCTTCCAGAAACTGTTTGCAGAAACGGTCTTAGAAGTAGACAGAACACAAAATCTTACATCAGAGGCCCATTTCCGTAAGATAATGTTGGCAACATATTCTAAACTTGCGAGCGACAGAACGCTATACAGGAACCTCAACAAAGAGGTATTAATAATCCTGTACACTACCTACGTGAGACCAGTTTTGCAGCTCTGTCACGTAGCGCCCACAACCACGTGGGGCTGGACAGTAGAGCAACGGTCTCACTTCACGCAGGTCGGGGCTCAATCCCCGACCGTCCAAGTGCTAGTTTGGCACCATTCCTTCCCCCCGTCCCATCACAAACCCTTATCCTGATCCCTTCCCAGTGCTACCTTCAGAAGCACATAAAGATACTTGGAAAAATATAAAGGACTGAAACGAGGCTCGTTCCTTAATTACGTCGGATGGGACACGAAGAAAGGCTAGAGAAAAGCGTCACTAGAGAGATCGATATGGTGCAAAAAGACGCATTTTTCATGATAAATACCAATATCATATACTGATGATAAATACTGATGATAAATACAATAAAAAATGATAAAATAAATGATGATAAATATATATTTCATGATAAATACCAATATTAATAAATAACAAAAGAACATTGTCAGAGGGTTGTGTCGCAGATGAACAACGGAGACATGGTAAAAGGTTCTAAACGAAGGAACTAAAACAAAAGAACTAAACAAGGAACTGTAGAAAATACGAATGAGCGCATTCACAGAGAGTAACAAAGATGGAAGCAAGAAACTCAGGAAGAGATTACAAAATAATTCAATAAAGAGCTACTCGGACTGAAAGTGTTGAATTAAGTGGCACAGTAAAGCCTTCATGTTAGAAGTGAAGATAGCACTTACTGCTGGTATTTAACTTGATAAATGTTCAGAGATCAACCAAGATCTTATCACTAATACCAACAATGGGACTTGAAGCTGTGTGATGCCCCTTTACTAAATACACTTCACTGGAATCAGGAAAATTACCAGAGTCAGAAATATAGTGCCACATAAACAAAAAGGGAGAAAAAGATAATATTGAAAAGGATATATTAATATTGAGGAAAATATCCCTTATGTGCAGGCGATGAGTCACAATAACGTGGCTGAAGTATGTTGACCAGACCACACACTAGAAAGTGAAGGGACGACGACGTTTCGGTCCGTCCTGGACCATTCTCAAGTCGATTGTGAGAATCTCACAATCATTCTCACAATCGACTTGAGAATGGTCCAGGACGGACCGAAACGTCGTCGTCCCTTCACCTTCTAGTGTGTGGTCTGGTTAACAATATCCTTTATATGTGTACATATGACAAGAAGGACCTTTTCAATGCAACATTGAGTGTTGGAATCGTGCCTTACACACTAGACAGAATACGATAAGGTGAAAGGAATCACACATAACAGAAAATGGTGGTCATAATGCATATTATTGAGCTATCAGAAAACCTTCAATACTTCGAGAAATATGGAGTAATAGTGAAGCTGCAACAGTAGACTAGAGAGTACCCAAGAAACCCAAGATACACAGTCACGGTGAAGGAAGACTCCTCAGAGTAGCAGATGTTACCAGCGGGAGTCCCACAAGGGGCGAGTACATGACCCTATCCAACTCCTGATTTTGAAAATAATCTTCTAAACAGAAAATATTTCTTCCTGTTTAGCAAGAAGTATTCTTAATGGGCAAAAATGATAAAACTTCATAAGCACGTATTCTACTATACAAAATCATACACACATGCAGCATACAATCCAGAGATCATTTACGGTTTTAAAACATATACAACATAATTTTAATGTTTATATTAGGGGTATATCCTCAATATAAGAGACGAGATAATATGATACAGGTTATATCTGTGTGCTTGACTCTCAAGTTAAGAGTGGCAATGGTGATCTGAGGCGCGTGTTTACATTGTGACGTCACGAGGCGCGTGTTTACATTGTGACGCCATTAATCTGTTATATTTTGGTCATTTATTATGCGCCTAATACCTACCCCGAGGGCGGGGGTGCACCCCATACCCATCACCTGGGCGGTGGAGGAAAGGAGCACATAATGGCTCATGAACTGAACCCCTAACGTTCATTTAGTAGAGTAAATGTGTGTGTGTGTGTGTGTGTGTGTGTGTGTGTGTGTGCGTGTGTGTGTGTGTGTGTGTGGGAGAGGGGGGGGGGGTATGTGTGTGTCGCAATATTAAAATGTAAATTATTTCTTTCATGATCTCTAAAAATAACATATCTATCGTCCTCCATATTATAATGTATATGTAATATTCTTCTCCCTGTGACCTCCTGTTGACCTTTTGACCTGGCAGCGTGCTGGGCCACGAGGGGTGTGGTGTGGTGGTGAGGTCACAGCGAGTGGGGGTCAAGCCAGGTGACCGCGTGACCTGGGGCATCTGTGCCGCCTGCCACACATGTCTTCCCTGCTCCTTACACCTGCACAACAAGTGCACCTCACTCATCAAGGTGAGTCACACGGGTACTCACAATTCATAATTATAAAACTAGACATGATAGGGAAATAGGACAGGGGTCATTACTCTAAACAAGTGCCTTGATAAAAATATGACTGATGTTCTCATGGATACATCACGTTAATGCGAGTTTTTTGGACAATATTATTTATTAATGTTATTATTAGTAGTAATATTCTTGTCCTGTATTACAGCTTCCATTACTGCAATGACCACTGCTATTGTTATTACTTCTATCAGCTCTCCTAGAGTAGCTTGAGATAGGCAGGAGGGCGGTGTAGAATCAACAAGGTAATGAGGCAGCAGGAAGCCTGGTCGACGACCGGGCCGCGGGGACGCTAAGCCCCGAAAACACCTCAAGGTTGGCCACACTCACACACAGTCCTTCTCCCTCAGCTGGGCCACACCGTCGTATCCTCAGCCACACTCTACGGCACCTACTCCACACACCTCCTGTGCCTTCCCAACACGCCCCTGGTGCCCCTCCCGCCGGCCCTCACGCCCACGCTCGCCGCCCCTATCAACTGCGCCCTCGCTACAATGGTCAACGCCTTCTCTAAGCTGCCGCCCACGCCCAAAGCGGGTCAACCGGGGGCGTCGGTGGCTTTGGTCCAGGTAGGTGCTGCATGACAAGACTTCTCTTATAGTTAACACAAGGCAGAGTTAACACACAGTATAGTCAGCATAGGGTATAGTTATCATGTAGTAAGCAGTAAACAGTTACCTGGGAGTTTCCTGGGGTGTGTGTAACAATAAGGAGGCCTGGTCGAGGATCCGGCCGCGGGGACGCTAAGGCCCAGAAATCATCTCAAGATGACCTCAAGATAGTATTGTTAGTTCAGTGTATAGTTAGTATGGTGTATAGGGCGTTATGCACTAGATAACACCATCAACACACCCGTTCCCTTCCAAAATGTTCTGCATATCTTGGTGAGGAAGGGAATTATCAGGGGAAAAGCGCCAAGGTATTACGACTATATAGCACTGGGAAGGGGTCAGGATAAGGATTTGGAATGGGACGGGGGGAAAGGAATGGTGCCCAACCACTTGGACGGTCGGGGATTGAACGCCGACCTCAATGACCCGAGACCGTCGCTCTACCGTCCACCCCAAGTGGCTGGGCCATATCTTAGTGATTGAAATATACTAATCACGGTAACCGTAGCACTTAATAGGAACTGGATAGGTGTCTAAATTAACGAACCCTACACTGACCTAAACCTATCCTAACCTGCCCATAACCTAACCTAAGCTGATAACATAAACTAACCCAAAACCAACTTAACCCAACCAAACCCAGCTCTAACTTTAATCTAGCCTAAGGGTGCTATTTAGATATTGATTATAAAAATATACCTTCACTGAGAGTTCAATTTGGATTACTATCCTGAATCCAAATGCTCCCGACCCCATTTCCTAATAGGAAAACGCCTCATTTACCTTTATCCAAAATGTGCAACAGTTTGCAGACCATTGGCAACATCCTTAGATTATCGACAATCCTTAGATTAGGAAGAGATCAGTTAACTCTTCGTCCCGCTTACCAGCGATCCACATAACAACGACAGTTTATCCTCTAAGAGTTAGTTTAGATCATTTATTATGCATCCCATACCCATCCCGTGGGCGGTAGTGGAAAGGGGGTTACAGAGGCCCATAATGGGCTCAGGGACTTAGATAAACTAATCATCCAATTCGTCTTCCAATCGTCATGTTCATCACTACTCCCTCCATTCCCCTCAGGTAAACCAATCAGCTTTCCCTGTCCCTCCCTCAGGGTGCTGGGATGCTGGGATTGTACTGTGTCTCGCTCCTGAGGGAGGCTGGCTACAAGAGGGTCTTCTGTGTCGACCACAACAGAACCAGGCTGGCCAAAGCCACAGAATTCGGCGCTGCGATCCTCCACCCTGATAGTGGTGAGTGAGAGAGAGAGAGAGAGAGAGAGAGAGAGAGAGAGAGAGAGAGAGAGAGAGAGAGAGAGAGAGAGAGAGAGAGAGAGAGAGAGAGAGAGAGAGAGAGAGAGGGGTAGAAAGGGGGAAGAAGGGGCGGGAAGGAAGGGGTGTACGTGAGGAAGGAGAGAGGGAATGGAGAGACACACGAAGGGAGAAAGGAAAGAGGGGAGGAGAAAGAGGGAGGGAAGATGAGAAGGGAGGGACGAGAAGGAGGTCAATGCAAAGAAAAGGTTGAAGACAGATAGCAGTAACTATTTTCATTTGCAAGAGGAACATATTCTGGTGACCCTCGATGATTCTAGGATCACTAGAATTCCTCTTTTGGGTTCTGATGACCCCCAACATGCCTATATTCGTCCCGTACCCCAGACCATTTCCTCTGCCAATTTGGGAGAAACTAGCCGCAAGCGTCTGACCTTCAACTTTGGACAAACAGTCTCCTATAGTATAGATATATATTCATGAGCTGCCTATCCCCGAGAAAATGAATTGTATGGGTGTTGACCAGACCACACTAGAAAGTGAAGGGACGACGACGTTTCGGTCCGTCCTGGGCTATTCTCAAGTCGACTTGAGAATGGTCCAGGACGGACCGAAATGTCGTCGTCCCTTCACTTTCTAGTGTGTGGTTTGGTCAACATACTTCAGCCACGTTATTCTGACTCCTCGCCTGCATACGAACTATATGGGTGAGCCAAAAGTTGCTGTATAGTACTATTATTTTATTTACACAATCATATGCAGCAGATTAATGATGAAGAGGACCTTGGAGACAGAATCCATCATTCACTCTAAGCTGCACGATTGGGAGAAGCAGTAAAAACACTAATCAAACCCTAAGATAATCAAGCGAACCTTTGACTTAAAGGAAACGAAGATAGTTATGCAGCTGTATAAATCCCACTTGGATTCTGCATGGATCCAAGCATGGCGTCCTCATCTTCAGAAAGACATAACTTCTGCGGAGACAGTTCAACAGCGGGCGACAACTGCAAACAAGACATGATAGCGCTCATTTCATCGAAACTTTTAAAATACGGAAGAATTTGGAGTATGTTGATCTAGAAGACAACTTCGCAAGATGTAACACAAACAAGGAACAATGGTTTAAAGCTCAACAAGGCGAACCAACAACCAACCAACCAAGGCGTAGGACTGAAAACAGGAGATTTTTTTTTTACCTATAGGGTTATAAATCTATGAAACTACTTAGCCGCCGAGGCCTTACATGCAAAAAATTGGTATTTTAAAATCCAGCTTGAAAAACCATTAGGATAAATTGAAGGGGCCTTTGACAAGCCGGTTGCTTCCTGTCCTTGTCGAGGCCATTAGTGTTAATAGCTCTCAGGTAAATTCAAGAAAATATATAATATAAACAAAACAAATAAAACGGTATCAAAATTAAACAAAATTAAAAAAATGCTTTATTACATTTGTTATTTATTTTATATACATTTTTACATATGACTGTATTAATAAATTAGTATTACGATCAAGTATCTTTTGGGCCTCTCTAGTACAATAGTGATTTAGCAAGTACCTAAGAAATTTTAGTTTAAAGTAGTTTATCCTTAATAAAACGTTTTCTTTAATATGTTTTGTTTTCAATTTTAGAGGAGGAACTTATTCAAGCTGACAGTGTGGACGTGGTGTTTGAAGTGTGTGGTGACAAACGGGTAAGTTAACCACCTGGCCATTTTAATCAACGTTCGAATAGCTCAATAGTATCAATATATATTTCTTTAAATACCTAGATCACTTCAATATTGTTATCTGATCAGCGGAATGGTTTCTTCGTGTCTCAGTCTGTTTGTCTTCCTTCATCATGTATAATAATAATAATAATAACAACAAATGCAAAAATATAGAGCATTTTTCATTGTGTACATTCACAGTAGGTAAGGAGCGAGGTCTGAGCTGTATAGTTCTTAGACAGGAAAACGAGAATACAGTGAATAGTAGACATACAAACCCTATTTCTGTATATGTGTGTATATTATATATATATATATATATATATATATATATATATATATATATATATATATATATATATATATATATATATATATACTGTTTACTCTGTTTAAATAGTGTATAAGATTATAGTTTACTTGCTGGTTGGCTATTGTAGTGGCCTTAGTAACCCTTACGCAGTTAATTGGCTTTAAACCCAACACCAAACTAGACTTTAGTCCTGGACAATATTCAGGCCGCAAGAATACTTGCTGATTGGACAGTATTGTTATTGTGTTTGTTATTGATATATACAAGAGTTCTTACATTCTTGTACAGCCACTAGTAAGCTATTGTGGCGGCCTTAACAACCCCACAGAGTTTAATAGGCTTATTGTTTAACACAAACGAAGCAACTTGTAGATATGATACGAATGCAATAAACTCGAGAACTTGTACACCAGTTCATTAGAGTTTGAGATTTAAAGCGGAACCAAGAAGCCGAAGCGCAACCCACGTAAGCACAACTAAGTATATAGTATATCTCCGTAGACTTAAACGTTTTTTGTGAACACTCAAACAGTCCCGGACGTCTGATAGAAAACTGTTATTAATATGATTTTAATGGTAAACTTATATATTTCGTGTTGAGCTTCTTTATTATTTATATATTTATTTATACAAAGAGTTCTTACATTCTTGTAAAGCCACTAGCACGCACAGTGTTTAGGGAAGGTCCTTCAATCACAATTTTCCCGGGAATACGGCCCGTCAAATCGTTTAACAACCAGGTACCCTTCAGTGCTGGGTGAATAGAGGCGTACAGCTATGGACTGGCGCCTAATCAATCCTCCCCCAGCCAGGATACGAACCCAGGCCAAATCTCTCGCAAAGCACCGGGTGAGTGTTTTATCACTGCGCCATATGGACTGCAAATTCATTGTTTCATTCATTTCCTATTCCAATTTTCCTTCGACCTTTTCTTACCAAACCTCTTTTCCCCCACGTCGCTCTGTCACCACACCTCTTTTTCACCATAACATCTTCCTCACCACACGTCTTCTTCATCGACATCATCACGACACAAGACACTCCAAGCCCTCCTCATCACAACCTTTCCTCATCACGACACAACACACCACAAGCCTTCACCACTAACGTGTCGTTTCTCCAGGTGGTTGGTCGGGGCGTGAGGGCGCTAAGGGCGGGAGGGACCTACGTGCTGGCCGGCCTGGTGCACCCGGACTCCCAGATGAACCTCGCCGCCCAAGAACTCATTCTAAAGTGCCTCACTATAGTAGGTAGGTAGAGGGAAGAACAAGGGCACGGGAGACATCTCCCGTCACGCAGGGTGCAGTCACACCTCCACAGATCTCCAGTACCAGCTCTTGATATTGGTAATGGCTCAAAAGGGCCACCACTTACGGGCTATTCATGCCCGTGCCACCTTTTGGGTGGCTTAATCTTCATCAAATAATCAAGAACAAGGGAGTATAGAGGGAGGAAAGAAAGGGGAAAGACTTATGGGCTCACCATAGCCCGTGCTACATGGACATTTCGTTCCGAGTAGTTAAACCTAAAACAACAGGGCAAGGTATTAGTTGATTTTATCTGCAGAATAACCCAATTAAATAATAATATTGTATTTATGCAAGAGTTCATATGGTTAATGAAGAGTGGAGAATTCATAGGAAAGACATGTAAAATGCCTAGCAGCTAATACGCAGAGCATTTCGGGTAAAAACAATTGGGAGAATAATTTTCCAGCTTAATGGGGTAGAGTAATGCGATGGCCGGAGCTAAAAACTAATAAGCTTTTTATATAAATTAGCTTTGGCATCTCAGCAAGGGTGCTTGATTTAGTTTTGAGAGGGTTATATCATTAATATCTATGAAATGCGCTGGCGATAGGTACAGAGACTCGGGTTAGCTCCCTGTGAAGTAGTCACTTACATTGGTTAGAGATGCTGAGATTTCAGTTGCAACAGATGTGCCAGTAGAAGAGAAGAAACTATTGAATTTAGTAGTAGTGTCAATGGTTAATACCAGTCCATCCTCACTAGATAGAAATAATGGTTTCTTACTCAAGTTCAACTTTAATCCTAATATCTGGGTAATAGTATTCCATGTTACCTTTTATTTGATTAAAATCAGAGTGTAGAGTTGAAATTATGACCCATTAGTATATGGAAATATATTATTAAAAAACATTGTTAGCAGCTGCATTTGCAATATATTGAGCTAAATTTAGATACTATTTTCTCTAAACGGTTTCACACAGTAGTCCAGGAGGTCTTGGTAAGATGCTGGGGAAGATTTATTTTCTCGAGTTTCCTTGTATCCTTGATATTCAATAAATCAATATTTTACTGGTAATGGACAGAACAGTTATGACAAGTTGGTCTTCGTCTTGTATCAACTGTCCGTCAGAGGTGATTGTCCTAGCCGGGAAGGACAGCAGAATGTCCGAAGTGTGTGGGAAGGTTTCATAGACCTTTGTTCATTGTTAGTAAGGTAGGCAAGGAAGATGAGAGGGAAGAGAGATTTCTTTCTACTTCAGACGTGATCATTCTTCAATACAATCATATATATTTTTTCCTTCAGACCTGCATGGACAGGTTTAGAGATCTGTTCTCCTACAAATAGTCTAGTGGGTTATTGAGCACTAAAACACAAAAGTTGATTAAAGTACAATAGCAAATCTGAATTCTAACTGGCAGCTATATGTATTTAGGCAGTAGACGTATCCATACGCGAACCCAGGGATCTGTTGTTTTAAGGGTTCCTCTGCCCCCTCAATACTACATTCTCCCTACCACGTCCCTTAACAGAAGACTCTGTTAAGCCCCTTAGCTCCCCTAACAACATTCACCCATAGCCCCATAGCGCCCCATAAGGCTAAACACTTGGATCTCCCTTCTATCCGCTCCAAGCAACAGCCTAGTGGACCAAACTCTCACAAGTCAAGCCTAGCTTCGGGCCGGGCTTGGGGAGTAGAAGAACTCCCAGAACCCCATCAAGCAGGTACCAAGTCACCGGCGTTAACACATATTTTGTCCCCGTACAGGTGTGCACAACTACACACAGCAACACCTGCAGGAGGCGGTCACCTTCCTCTCTCAACACCACCACCGGTATCCCTTCGCCTCCCTTATGGGCCCGACCTTCCCCCTCTCCGACTTCAGGGTGAGTGTGTTGGTGAGAGTATGTTGATGAGGGTGTGTTTGGAAGGGTAGGTCTGTTAGGGACGCCGAGTATGTTGGGGTGAGTGAGTTGCGGTGCGGAAAATGAGTACATTGGGGAGCGTGAATTGGTTGTGGGGGAGTATGCAACAGGTGAGTACATTGTGAAGTACTCTTGGAAGACTATATGTACGTTAAGTGCGATGAAGAGAGTGAATGCACTCAAGGCTGTGACACGGTTGAACATCACAAACACATGTTTCAAACGCATACTAGCTTGTTTAGTGCCTCGTACCGCCTGAGTGCGTCAAGTTACTTTCCTAAACGTTATAAGTGCGTTGTTTGAGTGAAATTAACATATACAATGAGGCTTAATTTAATTTCACTTATTGATCTGTAATATAACTTCCTCTGAAAATTGTTTTAAGATTTTAATTAATATTTATATAGACTTACTGGACAACAATCACAATTGTATAACTTAAAACCTAATTATTTTCTTTTTTGTATTCAGTATGCAATGTTTGCCAACATTACTAACCTTGAAAGCACTGCAAGCACAAAGAACAACTTTAAGATACACTCTTGCTCACAAAGATGGAAACAGATCTTTATAGATCGTAAAATTATAGTAATAATTGTAAGTATAGATCGTAAAATTATAGTAATAATTGTAAGTATAGATCGTAAAACAAAAGCAATGCAACATCAAACACGTGAGAATTAGAGTACCATACGCTAACCTCCCTTAAACCAGAAATAAAAATAAAGAAAAACCACGGAAAAAAAATTCGATACAGCTTTTACTGCGTTCCGTGTGACGAGTTCGTTATAAGGAGATACGCGTTATATCATCTACGTAGGTTACCGAGAATTCAGAGTAGGAAACATTTGATGATTTGCAGGCGTCTCTTACCGTCCCAACCATCTTAGCTTTGTGCTACAGATCGCTTATTATGCGCGGAAGCAGCTCCTCCGTGCTGTCTACGTAAGGGTGAAATTTAATTAGTACTGTCGTTCTATTCGTGGGAAGTGGTGTCACCTGTCTCGTGATATAACATGACAGGCTCTTATTTACTAAGCAGCTCACGTGTGTACATTGTGTGTGTGTGTGTGTGTGTACTCACCTATATGTACTCACCTATATGTGCTTGCAGGATCGAGCATTGACTCTTGGATCCCGCCTTTCTAGCTATCGGTTGATTACAGCAATGACTCCTGTCCCATTTCCCTATCATACCTAGTTTTAAAAGTATGAATAGTATTTGCTTCCACAACCTGTTCCCCAAGTGCATTCCATTTTTCTACTACTCTCACGCTAAAAGAAAACTTCCTAACATCTCTGTGACTCATCTGAGTTTCCAGTTTCCATCCATGTCCCCTCGTTCTGTTATTATTACGTGTGAACATTTGATCTATTTCCACTTTGTCAATTCCCCTGAGTATTTTATATGTCCCTATCATATCTCCTCTCTCCCTTCTTTTCTCTAGTGTCGTAAGGTTCAGTTCCTTCAGCCGCTCTTCATATCCCATCCCTCGTAGCTCTGGGACAAGCCTCGTCGCAAACCTCTGAACCTTCTCCAGTTTCTTTATGTGTTTCTTCAGGTGGGGGCTCCATGATGGCGCCCCCACACACACACACCATGATGTGTGTGTGTGTGTGTGTGTGTGTGTGTGTGTGTGTGTGTGTGTGTGTGTGTGTGTGTGTGTGTGTGTGTGTGTGTGTTTGTATGTGTGTGTGTATGTGTGTGTGTGTGTAATCACCTAGCTGTGCTTGCGAGGGTTGAGCTTTGGCTCTTTGGTCCCGTCTCTCAACTGTCAATCAACTGGTGTACAGGTTCCTGAGCCTACTGGGCTCTATCATATCTACATTTGAAACTGTGTATGGAGTCAGCCTCCACCACATCACTGCCTAATGCATTCCACCTGTGTGTGTGTGTGTACTTATCTAGTTGTACTTATCTAGTTGTGATTGCGGGAGTTGAGCTCTGGCTCTTTGGTCCCGCCTCTCAACTGTCAATCAACTGGTGTACAGGTTCCTGAACTGGTTGTGTGTGCTTTCAATAACAATTTTCATTATTTCAGCGCCGTTAACTTCATTATTAAAATCATTTATGAAAATATTATCGTTATTTCAATCGGCATTATCACTTGTTATTGATTTGAATAATATTCACTCAAGTCCACTTTCAAACCTTGAAGTACAACACATTTGTTCTACTTCTAATTCATTTCATCTACTCCAAATTCACTAATCTACTACTTATTAGTTCAATCTACTAATTCGTATATTATTCTCCTAATTTACTTCTCTTCCGTCCTTTACAGAACGCAGTTGAAGTAGCTCGCTCGGGTCAGTTCCTGCGTGTAGCCATTAACCCACAGCTATAGCCTATAGGTTCCGTCAGGGGACCCATAGCCTCCGTCAATCACCAGGGGCCCCATAGCCTCCGTCAATCACCAGGGGACCCATAGCCTACGTCAATCACTAGGGGCCCATAGTCTACGTCAATCACCAGGGGCCCATAGCCTACGTCAAACTCAACCACCCATCAGCCAGTAAACACTTACATTCTGCCATCTTTGTGACCAAGACGGAATATCCAACATTCTGTCCCAGCCATCTTGAGTCATAGGGGATTGGTAAGCCGCAGGGGCCCTATTGGCCCACGTGACCACCTTACGGTTGTATTTTCGGCTTATCCAACAAAAACTGTCTTCACTTCTGTTCTGCCTTTGAACATGTTCACAGGAACAACGAAACACATCTCTTAGCGTCAGACCATAATAAAACTAAAATAAACTTTGGAGAGTTAATTTTTCAATTTCCTTCTCAAAAGAAGAAAAATATTTTAGCCTGCCACCTCCATCACTGGCAGGCGTGTCAGGGCTGGTGTTGGCAGGTGTGTCAGTGCTGGTGGTGCAACACTTCCTCAGGCTATGTTCATTCCATCCAACGGCTGACCCCAAATTTACCACTGTATTCATTCAGAATAGAAATTTCCTCAAATATATATTAATATTATATATTATCATATTGTGCATATCTAGGCTATGGTGATACGTAGGTGACACCCAGAACAAGCAGACTACAGCACACTACAATGAATAGAAGTGTCTACCATTCAACTCATCTTCGGGTCTGGAGTCGCTACCCCAAACCCAGTGAGACGGTGAAGCATCTCCCTCACCCAGGGCGATAACAACAAGCTGGTTGTTTACAAGCCACCAAGGACACGATAATACTCCGGAAATTAGATTAAACAGTATTAGAAACAACACCTGAGAACCAACTCTAGGAGGGCGTGTAATTAGTACTTAAATATCAGTGACTAGAGAGGTTTAGCTTCTAATTATGCCCCCCCCCCCCGCCCCTCCCTCGCCTACTTGCCTTCTTGTATCTGTCATGTTACTATTTAACTCTTGATGATTGAACTGCTCATCGAATCTGGCCTTAAAGCTGTAGACTGGAGGTGGTTTCCACAACTTATTCTTTTAGTGTATTCTACTTACTGACACGTATACAGGACACGAGTATTTCCTTACATTTTTTCTACTCGGCTCGTTGGTTCGAGTCGCCTCATTGTTCCAATTCGTTTTCTCATTGATATGTATCACGTTAGTGTGATTTCCTCGTGTCTGGGAAGCTGGAGCACACGGTTGACGAGCTGCTTTACCTGCACCAGAGTACATGGCGGGTTAGGTGTGAAACTTGGACTGCCCTCAGTAGGACCTCCAGACTTTCTGTGGATTCAGTGGAATGCTGTTGTTGTTACTGTACATTCAGCTACTCGGAACAAAAAGTTCCAAGTAGCACGGGCTATGGTGAGCCCGTAGTGGACTTACCTGGCACAGGAACTCTCAGTGGAATCGATTGCTTGATAAAGATTAAGCCACCCAAAAGGTGGCACCTTACCTTGAGGTGCTTCCTTGAGGTGCTTCCGGGGCTTAGTGTCCCCGCGGCCCGGTCGTCGACCAGGCCTCCTGAAGGCATTACGCACAGGCAGGAATAGCCCGTAAGTGGAGGCTCTTTCAAGCCATTACCAGTACCAATAGCTGATACTGGAGATCTGTGGATGGATGTGGAATGAGTCGACTCCCTAAGTTGTGTAACGAATACCATGTTGTGGTACAGGGGTAAGGTACGCGCCTGGAGGGGTACCTTGATCGTTGGTTTAGGTCACATCAATGCTCCAATTGATTTTCTTACTAATGTATATATATAACGTTAATGTTGACCAAACCACACACTAGAAAGTGAAGGGACGACGACGTTTCGATCCGTCCTGGACCATTCTCAAGTCGATTGTGAAATAACGTTAATGATTTCTTTGTGCATTAGCTTGACTGATGTACTGGAAGTACCTCTCAACATTGGTAGATGATAATAGTGAATTCCAATGGCATTTAAGATTTCCCTGGACAATATGAAGAAGGTTGCCACTGGATGAGGTCGTCCATAGAATGTTTAGATTGGGTTTACAGTGTTTCTCTCATGGGTTCTTCCTTATTGTGAGGACTCTGGCCTGGTAGATAGAGGCCAGGCACCTCACAGGGTCATAGATCTGTCCAAAATGGTTCAAGTTGATTCAATGTTCCTAAGATAGTGTACTTGCCGAGTAGACTGTGGCTTGCGCTTAGTGTGGACGTGGAAAGGCCCGTCACTGTTGTGATCTTTAAACCTGACGGATCTTAGTCTGGTCAACAATGATAATTCCTGATTATCCAAGGTTATCCCAGCTAATCCCAGGTCATCTCAGATAATCCTAGGTCATCACAGATAATCCCAGGTCATCTAAGGTTATCTCAGATAACCCATGTTATCCAAGGTTATCTCAGATAATCCCAGGTTATCCAAGGTTATCTCAGATAACCCCAGGTTATCCAAGGTTATCTCAGATAACCCCAGGTTATCCAAGGTTATCTCAGATAACCCCAGGTTATCCCAGGTAATTCAAAATAACCCCAGGTTATTCCAGGTAATCCCCGATTACCCAAGTTATACCAGGTAATCACAGATTTTATCCAAGGTAATCCAAATCATCCCAGTTAATTCCAGACTATCCCCAGTAACACAGGTAATCACAAATTACTATTTTCTAGGTAAGCCCAGGAAGATTAGTGATAATCCCAGAGGGTATCCACCTCGTGTCCGCCCCCATTATCTTATCATTTCCGGCAGGTGTTGTGTCTAGTTCTGTTTAAACCAGTTTCCCGCGTAAACAATGGCTCCGGACCCATCAGGATGTAAAAGCCCAGGTGTTCCATAAATATCCAACCAAACGAGGGCGCTGGATCGTTATATATATACACATCAACTAGCTGTACCCGGTTACGCGTTGCTGTGGCTCTTGGGATAGGGAAGGGTTGCTGTGAGCCACAGCAATCCTCCCCTGTTGAGGATGAACATAATAATTGCTCATCTGATAAATAAATAGTAGTCAACAGGACTTTTGTTCATAAAGAAATTACAGAAACTCATCATCATGAAAATCACACGTCCTACTTTTTGCTAAACTTTTCAACCAAATTTACATTATTCATTTTCCAAAAAATTCCATTTTTCCTATAAGGCTGAAATTTTTAATTAGCAATTTATGAACTGATCGTGAGAGCGTCAGCCAGCCCTGTACACTTAAAGTAATGAAGGAGTTATTGTTCAGAATATTTTTGTCAGTTGTAACAAAAATTTGTTTACAAATTTGTTCAGAGTACATGTGGGGTGTTGTGCCGGGAACAAAGAAGCACCCGAACACGTTTTCCGAACTGAGATGCTTGGTGATAAGACCACAGAAGATTATCTGACCAACCAACCGAGATACAAGTTTGGCCAGGCGGCCAATATGTGCCTCGGTAATGAAACATTTGGAACACCACAGGGGAACACTAACACGTCAGGGAGTTCCTGTGGGTGTGGTTCCTCTGGCACGACACGTCCCGATGGACAAGTTCTCCAAACTGATGAAATTTACTATAAGACCACAGAAGATTATCTGACCGACCAACCAAGATACAAGTTTGGCCAGGCGGCCAACGTTGTGGACGGCTCGAGACGGACCATTCAGATGGTGGAAATCCCCGGAGGCAAGTTTGTTATGGGCACCAATGACTCCAGATTCGACAATGACGGAGAAACCCCCGTCAGATAGGTGGAGATTGATACCTTCTATATGGATGTCCCCGAGGTATCTAATGCAGACTTCGAGGTGTTTGTTAAGGCAACCAGCTACGAGACAGAAGTAAGAAGTCTATATATTTCTTTGCACAATTTCATGAAAGTCATAGTTTTACTAAATTGTGGAATTTATTTGTATTATTATGCAAGCAGGACTGTTTGCACTCATGTATACTTCATGAATCACGTTAAAATTCCGTAACTGATTTTGTCATGTGTTATATGCACCGGGAGAAGATGAATACTTTATGTATACTTTTTATGAATATATTCATAACAAGTTTATACATATCTTTACATTTTATATTACTCGTATAATCAAACATTTTCGCTGCTGAGAACAGAGCATTATATTTCCAATATACTTATTGAATCATGCATATAACACCTAGATTATTTGGTTAGTACCGCCAATACGTTTGTAATCTACACAGGCTGAGGAGGTTGGCGAATCCCTCGTACTGGAGAAGGAGTTATCTAAAGCTACAAAAGCCACCGTACATGAAGTTATTACTGAAGCCCCGTGGTGGTTCCCTGTGAAGGGAAGCATCCTGAAGGGCCAGACTCAAATATCACAGGTAAAGTGTCACAGATTCAACCAAAAATAATTAAAATGTTGTATATAATGAGAGAAGGAGGGAGTGAAAGGGGGGGCCATGCTTCATACCGACGCTTATCAAAGCTAATAGGCAAAGATCTTAATTTAAGCAAACGAGGAGGCACAATAACGTGGCTGGAAAATGTTGACCAAACCACACACTAGAAAGTGAAGTGACGACGTTTCGGTCCGTCCTGTACCATTCTCAAGTCGATTGATAAGCGTCGACTTGATAATGGTCCAGGACGGACCGAAACATCGTTGTCTCTTCACTTTCTAGTGTGTGGTTTGGTCAACATCTTAATTTAAATGTGCGCCATATCCAAAGGCGCCAAGCAGTTTACAAATGGCGGTAGCAGTGTTGTCCGACTGGACGCTGGAGAAGTTGTTCACCATTAGCCGGGTAAAATAAAGATTTGCAATAAGTACCAAAACAAGACTCACCTCCCAGCCCATCCGGCGGTGCGTGTAGCCCCCGACGGAGAAGCACACTTGTCGTTGTGGGTCGTACGAGAAGGAACTAAGGCTGGGGTCGTCTCGTAACCCATCTAGAGGCCTCCTGCACCCACTGCAAAAATATCATAGAGGATTTTAGTGTGGCGCGGGGAGCCTGGAGGGTCTCCTAGCCAACCCATCCTCCTAAAACGAAAGTACTTATAGTAATTATGTATTTTTTGTAACTTTTGGGATGGTAGTACCATTATGTAGTAATGAGGCCTTGGAGATCACTTTGTGATCTATTTTGTATATAGTCTGTAAAAAATAGTTAAAATCAAACAAATATTCATAGGCCTAATATAGCACATATATGTGCTATATTTTGGCCTAATATAGCACATATATGTGCTATATTAGGCCAAAAGGAGCATGTTATTAGACCTAAGATTGCTAGGAGAGGTTTCATTAAGAATTATATTTATGTTGCGCCTAAAAAATTTCTGGCTTGTACAAATGCAATAATACAAATCCTTATCCTGACCCCTTCCAAGTGCTAGTCGTAAAGGCTTGGTGCTTTCCCCCTGATAATTCCCTCCC